CGCCCCTTCCCCGGCGCGCCCCTGGCCTTGGCCGCTGTGCGCGTGCGTGGCCTCGCACTGCCCGGGCTCCCAGCGCATGTTTTTCGGCCCCGCGGCTTCCGCGAGGGGAGGGGCCTCGGGGCCGGGAGCGGGGGTGTCGCGGTCACGTGACCTGCCGCGGGCGGGAAAGGAGGCGGTTGGTCGCCATTTTGGAAAGCGGGCGGTTGAGGGTGGGAAAGGGTAAAGGCGAAGCCCGGGAAGGGGGTGAGCGGGAGGGGTCGTTTCACGCGACCCCACACCCCACGGCTGGGGTCCGCTGAACACTGTTCCAGGACGGCCGAGTTAGAATGCAGTGGCCCAGTGTCCGCTGCACCCTGCGGGCTACGCAGAGACACGCAGCCCTGTGGCGGGGCCGTGCTCGTGGGTCGTGGCCCTTGGAAAGCCGCCCGCGTGTCCCTGAGCACGCGGGGGCGCAGGACACGAGCGGCGAATGGCACCTCCATTCTCCCGCCAAACACCGAGCCCCTTTGGGTACCAAGGCAGCTTCCCTGCCAAATGCCCACACAGTGGTAGCCACCAGCCAATGAGACCCGGGTTCGATCCTTAGAAATTGAACCCTGCCCAGCCGGCAATGGGGGCGCACGCCTGTAAACCCTGCATTCCGGGAGGCTGAGGCAGGAGGGTCACAGGTTCCAGTCCAGCTTGGACAATTAGGCCAGACCCTGTCTAAAAATGTAAAAGAGCTGAGGATGCACCGGTAGCTCTGTGTGAAGACCTTGGATTCAATTCCCAGTGGCACCAAAAATAAAATACTGAAACTCCCAGGTCTACAGCACCTGCGCATTCCGGGTTGCCTTGGGGTGTGACACTGACTTGACCTTTAAGGAGCAGGAGGGATCTTACTGGGGTGAGGGAAGTGTGCTAAAACGACTATGGTCGCATAACTTGGTAAATTTAGTAAAAATCTTCAGAGTGTACACTTAAAATGGATAACTTGTCTGTACGTTAAATCTCAATGAAGGGCTTGGGTGTGGTTTTGTTTGGTTTTATCCCTCAGGAGATAACAGAATGGAAAGAAGGCCTGATAACTGCACCTTAGTTTCCTTCCTTGAGCACACCCCCCAACCCTGAGTGTTGGATAGAAATAAATTACAGATCCTAAGGATCAGCTGCATATGTCTGTTTACTCTGTCTAGTAGCCATACCTTTAAAAAAGATAAACGTAGGTCGTGGTGGATCATGCCTGTGATCCTAGCACTCCAGGAGGCTGAGGCAGGAAGATCTAAAGTTCAACCCCAACCTGGAAAATTTAGCAACTTAGCAAAACCCTGTTAATAAATAAATAAGATAGATAGATAGATAGATAGATAGATAGATAGATAGGTCTGGGGCTATAGCTCAGTGCAAAGGCCCTGGCTTCAATCCCCAGAACCAAATGAAATAAATAAAACATTTTAAAATGGGTGAAATTTTAATAATGTATTTAACCTGAAATTTTATTTCAACATATTACATATATATATATAGCATCTGGACTCCAAATCCCAGGTAGGGCATTTCTCTGTTGCTCACCCAATGTACTATTTTCCCAGTAGTCTCAATAAAATGATTGTTAAAATGTTTTGGGCTTAGTCTTTAAAATCTGGTGTATATTTTACATTCATTAGACACTCCCATGCAGATGGGCCATGTGAGGATAGCCCCAGGTAGCTCCTGGCTCTGGTATTGGACCTTGTACCTGTAGGGGAGGGACAAGCAAAGACACTTCTAATGCAGTCTGATTACACTTCTTTTTAAAAAGGAAGTGAAGGCAGAGGCTGGGTGTACATGCCTGTAATCCCAGCACTTGGGAGGCTGAGCCAGGAGGATTGCTTCGAGTTCCAGGCTACAAAGTGAGTTCAAAGTCAGCCTGAACTGCACAGTGAAACCTTGTCTCAAAAAGACAAAAAAAGAAAAAAAAAATGAAGGCAGACAGAGTGTCCAAGGGTCCAAGGATGCTATTTTATAGATTCATAGAGACTTCCTGGGGCAATGACTAAAGGAAATATAGGCCAGGCGTGGTGGTGCATGCCTGTAATCCCAGCACTTGGGAGGCTGAGGCAGGAGGATTGTTGCAAGTTCGAGGCCAGCCTGGGCTACAAAGTGAGTTCAAGGCCAGCCTGAACTCCATAGTGAGACTCTGTCTCAAAAAGACAATAAATAAATAAATAAATAAATAAAATAAAATAAAGGAAATATAGAAGAGAGCTACAACATCTGGGAACAGGAGAAGGGGCAGTAAGTGCAAAGACCCCAAGGCAGGAAGAACTGGGACCCTTTGAAAGATGACAAAGAGACTGATGTGGCCAGAACTGTGTGAATAAAGAAAAGAAGATTGAAGGACACATCATGAAAGGACTTCTCAGTTTTGCCAAAGGAGGAATTAAAAGTGTAGAAACAGGAGGCATTCATTTATTTAGCACATATTAAAAATTCCCAGGCATGGTGGCACATGTCTGTAATCCCAGCACTGGGGAGGCTGAGGCAGGAGGATCGCCAGGAGTTGAAGGCCAGCCTGAGCTACATAGTGAGTTCAAAGCCAGCCTGAACTCCATAGTAAGACTTTCTCAAACCAAAAAAAAGGCCGGGTGTGGTGGTGCATGCCTGTAATCCCAGCACTTGGGAGGCTGAAGCAGGAGGATCGTTGTGAGTTCAAGACTAGCCTGGGCTACAAAGTGAGCTCAAGACCAGCCTGAACTACGTAGCGAGACCCTGTCTCAAAAAGACAAAAAAAAAAAAATTTTTTTTAAGTGAGTGTGGTGGCACAGGTTATAATCTCAGCACTCAGGAGGTTGAGGCAGGAGGATTGCTTCAAATTCAAGGCCAGCCTGAACTACATGTTGAGACTCTATCACAAATAAATAAGCAAACAGAGCTGTGAAGACTCCCAGCTCATCTTCCTGGCTGGATGAAATGAACAGTAACTGGTGGCAATTTCAGAGGCAAGACGTGGAATAACTTCACTTACCTGGGTGACAGCCTCCTGCAGCAGCCACTCACTTGTACCTGGTCGTTATGCAAGTCATTAACACATGCCCTTGTGGTGGTGTTGGATGTGTGTCTGTATGTGTGTGTGGCACTAGAGATGGAAGCCAGACCCTCATGGATGCTAGGCAAATGCTGTGGTACTGAGCCACACTTTAGCGCTTCATTTTGTTTTCTTTTCTCTTTTTTTTTTTTGTGAGGGCTTTGCTATGTAGTCCAGGCTGACCTTGAACTCATTATGTAGCACAGGTTGACCTTGAACTCATGGAATCCTCCTGCCTCAGCCTCCTGCCCTGGTGGAGAGATGATAGGCATGCATCACCATAGCCAGCTGCAGATATCATTATTACCCCATTTCCAGGTGAATAAACTGAGGGACAGAGAGACTAAACTAGTGAGTGAGGGAGTCATATCCAAAATGTGTATTTGAATATTGGCTCCCAGCTCTTTAGCTGTATAGGTCTTGTGAGGGTCCATCCGTTTCTTCCAAGCCTTGCTTTCTGCACCCCAGATTAAGGATAATGACTTATCTCGCTGGGAGACCACAGAGAAAGTGGAAGGTCTCAATGGGTCATGCAGTGCTGCTCAGATGCAAAAACATGGCACGAGTAAAGGCCCTGAGGCCTGATGGTGGAGGCTAGGCTGAGCCTGGTTAAAGTTGCTGTAGGATTTGACCACTGCTGTGCGTTTGTGCTCCCGGTCCTGGCAGCCTCCAGGAGCCAACTTCTCCCTGCTGATGGTGGAGGTAAATGTGCCATGACTTGGTGGCCACAGGTTAAAGTGCTGTGGTTTCTGTCTAGCTGTGCCGCTTATCCTCACGTGCTCAGGGTCGGGGCTTTTGGAAGGTGATCAGATCAAGTCAGAGGCCTATAGCTGACTTGCTGCTAGGAGGCGGGATCTGATTGGAAGAGGCTTTTATGGGGGCGTGGCCTGGAAGCCTCCTCCCTCCACAGCGGCTTCCTGTCGCCCTTAGGTGAGCAGCACCTCCCACAGCCTAGCTATGTACTGAAACGGGAGCCTTTGCTCCCTTAGGTTGTAGGTGTCAGCAAGGAGGACGTGACTAGGGCACAAGGCATTCTTCCAGTGACCTTGGCTTGCCTGAGTAGAGGCACAGAGGCTTCCCATCCTCGCGACGTGTCTCTTTCTCTGTGGCAGAGCCTCAGAGGTCCCCAACCGCGCAGAGAAAACTCACCTCCATCCAGGACAGTGCAGCGAGTGCTGGAACTGGAAAGGACCAGAGACATCGCGTGTCCGAGCTTGGCTTTCGTCATCGTTCACTAAACAAGGCTAGCTTAACAAGCTGATTATACAGCCTTGTCTCTTCTTGCTGTTTGAAGGCGGCTGGATGCGGTGTGAGGCGTATGGGGCCGTGTGTGTAGATTATATGCAGACTTGAGCATCCTTGAAGTTCCGTGTCCAGGGGGGTCCTGCACCAATGCTCACAGGGGTGGCGGGAGGGTCAGTCCAGCCGGAAACTAGACACGCTTAGCCACACGCTGTCACTGGCAAGGCCCAGTGTGCTAGCTTAGAGCTAAAGCGGCCCCAAAGTCTCTTGTGTTTGGAAGGTGACAGGATCATGGGGTTTACAGCACTGTTTCTGTTAGGAGGCGGGGCCCGGTGGGCAGAGGCGGTCCCTGGGGGCGGGGCCTGGAACGGTTTCTCTCCCTTCCCAGTTCCTGATTTTTCTGCTTCTTGCTCACCCTGCCCTGAGCTGCTGCTCTCCATAGCTCCCCTTCCCAGTCTCACTGTTTCTTCTCTGGAGCTGGCAAAGCCTGGGCTGAAATATGAGCAAAAGTAAACCTCCCCTCCTTTAAGTTGTGGGTTTCGGATATTTGTCCCAGGAACAAGAAAGTGACTATTGCACGCGGTAACAGCTTTGTGGAATTAATTTTTCCCT